TCTACCCTCCAGCTCCAATTTTATATATTTTCTGCTCAGATTTGCTTTGAATCTAAGATTGCTTTTTAAAAGACACCCGTCCCCCAAGTAGCTGAGATTATGTTGTTGCTTACACACGCCTCCTGCCCCACAAAGCATTCTCATTTCACCCAGGGGAGAAGTCAAAGCTGAGAGACCCTACAGGATCGGGCCCATTTTCTCTGTAGTGTCTCCCATCACAGTTGCCTCTGGTCCACTTGGCTACAACCCTGAGCTACAAGTAGGCTCCTGACTGGAGGCCTTTGCATGAACCATTCCTGTGACCTGAGATGTCATCTGTTTGGAGTGAGCAGAATCCGATTCTTCCAAAGTTCATGCCACCTTGTTAGCATGGCTAGCCCTGGTCACCTGTCCTAAAATCAAGTCCTTCCTTTCATACTTCTCATCTGCCACCCCAGACTTAGCTTTGCTCTTAGTACTTAAACTAGCTTACATCCATTTATTTCATTCTATCACTTCTTGATGACCGGGTTAAGATCACATGTACCATCTTCTGTAACTCTTCTTCCACGTATGGTCTGCTTCTGTAATAGAGAATAAGCTCCCTGAAGAGAGACACCAGTTCTGTTGTATCCTAGATCGGCCTGCTGGCACCTGTAATTTCAGCACTTAGGAGGCAGAAGCAGGACAACCTCAACATCTGTATTTCTATTTTTGCCAAGACTTCTCTATGTATCCCAGGCTGGTCTCAAATCTTTAATCATCTTATGCCTACTGAATACTGGGATTATAGATGAGCACCACCACATTCAACACTGGGAAAACATTTTAAATTGTAAGTATTACTTGTGCAAAGGCAGTAACCACGAGAATTAAAAAGAGAAGATAACTAGTTTAAGGTCTAGAGACTATCTTCAATACTAATAAGGAATCTGAACTTTTTCCATTCCCCTGCCCCCAGAAAAAAAGAACACCTTTTGAACCAGAAAGTTGTAGTGTGTACCTCCTGTAGTCACACCTGCTAGAGAGATTAAGGTAAGAGGACTGCTTAAGTCTACAGCATTCAAGGCCAGCCTATGAGTCAAAATGAGAACTAGCCTTTAAATGCTAAAATAAAAGTGTGTGTGTGGGGGGGGAGAAAAAGAATGGGGGAAGAAAATTAATAGAAATCTTGTTTTAAAAAGCTATAATCAAACCTAATGCTGTGTATTCTAATTAAAATTTTAAATAAAAATATATAAAAAGAAAATTCAACCCAATCCTTATGCTCTTGAAAAATAATACATAGCTTGTAGCAGAAATATTTTTTATAAAGAATGTGGCCTCAGTGAAGTACAAGGAGTCATCAGTATTACAACAAAATAAGCTAATTAAGTATACCCATGTGAGCAAATGCTTTGAGAAAAAAAAACACTTTTCCTTCCACTGCTGTTCCTTGTTTATACATCTGAGTGATTCCACCAAAACCAGTCTAGCAAGATATACCGTAACAATAATAGAATACACATAAGATACACATTAAATGATAAACTAGATGCATACATTATAACTGTAATATACACATGGATAACTTAGCTTCTACTAGAGCTTGTTTAAAAAAAAAAAAGAACCACAAAGAAACACAATGCAGAATAATCTCTATCTCTGAAATCTGAATGCTAAAATGTTAACATAGTTTCTAACATCCTTCCTTATGTTATTAGTGATTACTTCATTAGTTTACCTAGTATTTTGTTGTTTTGTTGGTTAACTTGTTTCCAAGACAGGGTCTCACTATGTAGTTCTGACATGTCCTGGAACTCACTATGTAGACCAGGCTGGCCTTAAACTCACAGAGTTTAAACTGCCTGCCTCTGCCTCCTGAGTGCTGAGATTAAAGGCATGTGCCACCACACCCCAGACTAGTTACCTAGTGTTATAATAAAAATGAATGCTACAACTTAAATAAGATCTTTGGTCAGTTTGGGAAATCTTCAAAAAGTAAAAATGAACATCAGTTGTGAATACTTAAACTTCCAGAAATAGCAATCAAATAGCCAGATTTCTATTTATAATATCTAATTTATTTAATTATACATGCTTATTTTAAAATAACAATATATATAATACAATACAAAATATTGCTTTTCCCCCATTCTCACATTGTAACAATTTGCTTCAGATTCTCCACAAGCATCTCTGGAATCAACATCTTCATGATATCTACACCTAGTTTCTTGAAGTAGATCTCCTTTGCTTGCATCTAAGTTGTCTGAGATACAGCGCTTTAAAGATCTATGTTTGACACTCTTCCACGGTCTGGACCAACATGTCACATTACAACTGTCCTCCTCATCCTTGACTTACCCTGAGGGTGTGTTTGTAATCCTCACCACAGAACCACTTGCTTATTGCTTTTGAAACAGCTCTTTGAAAGGCTGGTTTGCAAATGTACTCTTGTAGTAGTGAGGGGGATGTTTCCCTGGAATAATGAGAAATCTCTCTGTCCTGCCTTTATAGAAAAAAGCACCCACTCCCAATTCATTCAAGTAGGAGAAATCCAGAACTGCACAGAACCTGCCTTTCTGAGGCTTGTATGGACTATAAATGTGAGAAGCTACCAGAGGCTCTCAGCGGCAGGAAATGGCAAGGTTACAGGGGTGTGGCAGAGGTCCAGACCAGACTGTTAGGCAGTCAGGGATTGCGATATTTCTTCAAGAGCAAAGAGCAAAGAGCAAATGAAAAAAGTTGGGAATGGTGTTATCAAAAATTTTGGGGGGGAGGGAGGGAGGGAGCGAGGGAGGGAGAGAGAGAGAGAGAGAGAGAGGGAGAGAGAGAGAGAGAGAGAGAGAGAGAGAGAGAGAGAGAGAGATAAAGTATGAATACCAGCTTGGAGCAGGTTCTCCTGGACAATGCCAACGGAGTCCTGGTTCCGTAAGGGGATTTGAGAGTTGTCTGAGAGCATTAGGACTGTGAAGAAAAATGGGATCAGAGAACAATGTGCAGAGTGGGCAGATTTTGGAGAATGACTGGGCTGGTCAGAAATTTGTGAATGAAAAGATAGAGAAATCCACCTAGCCTATCTCCAACAGGCTCCTTCCTCTTTCAAAACATATTACACTGAACTGTCAATACTGTTTTCTAGACTGCAAGGAAGACAAGGCAGTAAATCTGTCTAGGGAACTGCTGTACTGCTCGGAACCAGAATAGTCCTAAGGATGTATGTGCTATATGAAAAACTGGAGAAGAAGATGCACAGAAAGAAGGGAGAACGAGACACCAGTGTCTATGGAAAGATGGTTGGCAAAGGAGAACAGGCCAGGGAGCATGGGCAGGATCTCAGAGGGCAGTCAGAACCAAGGAGGTGAGACAAACAGGAAGGAAAGACTGAGGAGTGAGTTTTGGATATTCTCAGTGTTGATAAACATTTGGCTACTAATGAGAGACTACAGGTGTCAGAGTGTCAAGAGTAGGAATTAAATCATACTTCCAATAACCAGAACAGAAATACTCATTTCCCTAGTTACAGGGAAGATTTTAAGGCAGCGAGTCTCAAACTGTAGTCTTACCAGCAGCAGCTATAATCTACTGTGAAAATTCTCAGGTTCTACCCAGACCTACTAGATCAGAAACCTTGGAGATTAGCTAGGCAGCCTCTGTGCTAACAAGTCTCTCTGGGGATTCAGGTACACAATGACGTTTAAGAAAAGTGCTTTTCAGGCTGGGGATGCAGCTCAGTTGGGAGAATGCTTGCCTAACATGTCCAAAGCCCTGAGATTGGTCATCAGCATTACACAAACAATTATAAAAAATTTGCACATGCCTGTGCCTCTTTGGGAGGTAGGAAGAGATTAAGGAGTTCCAAATCACTCTCTTCCATACGGGAAGCTGGACCAGACTGATGTGCTTGAGACCACCTCAAAAACAAACAAAAAACACTACTGTTTTAAGGTATGGATGGAACCCTTCCTTCCTCCCTTTCTTTCCTTAAGACAGGGTCTCCACAGCCCAAGTTGCCCTTGCTATTCGTTTAACTACACCCTTCTGTTTCTACCTCCTAAGAGCTGGGATTACAGATGTGTGCCACCACACCTAGCTTAAATTTTTCCTTCTTTCCTTTATTTATTTATTTATTTATTTATTTATTTATTTAGACAGGCTTTCTCTGTGAAACAGAGCCCTGGGTATCCTAGAACTCACTCTGACCAGGCTGGCCTTTAACTCAAGAGATCTACCTGCCTCTGCCTCCCAGGTGCTGAGATTAAAGGGGAACACAACCACTTCCTGGCTGCTTAAGGTTTTTTGTTTTTGTTTTTGTTTTTTTTTTTTTAACCCTTTGACATCTGCTATACTAGTCAGTAGTGAGTACTGGCATCTATTACAGTAGTGGGAAAGAAGGCTACTGGTTTGTCCCCGGCTGTGTGATCCTAGAGATTCTTTTGTTCTTCCAGCTTCAGTGTCACTTCAGTGTCACTTATTAAATAAAGAAAAAAAGTACTTACCTTATAAGTCATAAGGATGAGAAACAATGCTTAGCACATCCTAAGTGGTCAATTATGCTGGTCATTATTATTAATAAAGAAGATTCACAAAGCCCATCACTTCATGGAGTAGTTCGATTCCCAGCTAGGGCTTTCCAAAGTCATAATTTTGTATCGTGTGTGTGTGTGTGTGTGTGTGTGTGTGTGTGTGTGTGTTAAACTTACATAACTCTTCCTGTTTTTAGCTTCTAAGAATTAACATGTCCCAAAGTTCTGGAAAGAGCCTTGAAGTCATGGCCAATCCTACACTCTACTTTTATCCTGTCCAGAAACGGCCTTGCTGATCAGACAAGCTGTTTATACCCTGTTCAACATGTGATCAAGTGTCCAAACTTGTAGCAGGCAAGTGGGATGGTACAGTGGCTGATCCTCCTAAAACGGTGAAACTGGTAAGGTATGGAAGAGTGGTGACGCCCAATAGGGCTCTAGGTGGTAGAGGAACTATGGATCTAAAAGGCCACCTAAGTTAAAAAACAAAAACAAACAAACAAAAACACAGAAAAACTAGTACATATTTTATTTACTGGTGCTTGGGTGAAACCTAGAGCCCCATGTATACTAAGCATACATTCTACCACTGAAAAACACCCTAGCCCAGCATGTTTTAGATGCAACTCCAAGGGTTCTACAAGCTCATCTTATTTTCTCATCTACCACAGATACCATAAATAGTAAACACTCACCAAACCAGCAGTTAAGCAGAAGGAACAAAGGTTGCTCTTTGCCAAAACAAGAAAAAGAAAAAGCTGGGTATGCTGAGTTTTGGTGGCTACCACTTAAGAGACTTGGCCAGTTTGAAAGGCCAAGTCTTGGTCAAGTGTTTCTTTCAGCTACAAACTATTTTCATTTTAAACAATTTTACACACACACACACACACACCCCTGTATTTGCAATGTAAATATAGGTGCACAAGGAGGCCTGATTCGAGCAAGCAGTATACATGACAAAAGCAGTATACACTCTCATTGCTAAGCAATCTTTCCAGTACCTGTTTTCAGTTTTGAGACTGGGTCTTATCTAAACTGGCCTTAAATTTATGATCCTCCTGCCTCAACACTCTGTGTTCTGGAATTATAGGTGCCAGCGTACCTGGTAGCTAGTACCTCTTTTATGACTGTGTATGTGGGATTCTTACTATAATACAGGCAGAGGTCAGTTTTGGATCATTTAGAGACCAGCCTGAAGGCACATTCAAAGAGTGGTCTTGGAACCTGAAACCAGAAGAAGTCATGTTGGAATCCTCACCTCTCATTCTTCCTTGGAGAATAGCTCTTTAACCCACTCCAAGATCTTTGTACCTTCCTACATTAGCCCTAGGTTCCTCTGGTGTTGATGTGCTAACTCTAGCAAGGGGTTAAATGTATCTGGTTCAAGTTCTACAGCAAGTTCTACAGCATCCTTACTGTGTCAAAGCAGCACTTTACTTTGCAATGAACCAAGGATATATGCACAAATCACCAAACAAGAATACTGACCTTCTGGTGTATTCTGGCAGGCCCTCCCTGAATAGATACCCTTGGCGTCTTTGCTGGAACCAATACCTTAAACACTCTTTTTGGCCTTCCCACCTGTCCAGAGCCCACAGTACCATTCCTCCTACTCTGAACCACTCTCAGCCCCGCCCAAGCAAAGAGGCAGTTCCTCAGTACCTACCTGGAAAGGACTCAGAGAGTAGAACAACTATTAATGTGACTCCCTCAAGTTGTAGCATCGATGAGTTAACAAGTTGTTTACTTGCTACTTTATGGCTATAAGGTGTAGAGGTGTGGGCTAGTATGTAGATGTGTTCAACGCCTACAGGTCTCATGAGTCACCACCTACCCCGTAGTTGAAATGTCTTGTTTCTTGGTTGGCAGACAGATAAAATTGAGGATCAAGCTTATTAGGTAGAGTATGGGGAAACATGAAGAGGCCCTAGCCTAGGATGTATGAGTTCTGATGGTAACCATCCTGCAATACAGCAGGGGCCTTTCTAAGGCATAAGTAACTTCTCAGTAAAAGAACTGAGTGTTTTAGTTCCAGGAAGTCAGGATTCCATTTCAACACTATACACAAGATGACCAAGGCAGGCTTGCTACAGAAAAATTCTGCTCCAAAATGTCACAGTAATTAGCAATGTGTTGAACACATAGTCGTTATGTTTTAGAGCACTGTGATAGTACTTTAATCAAGGTCTTTTCTGTTGCATGTACCAACAAGTCACTTCAGATTCATGTTTAAAAAAAAAAATACAGGTGCATTCTAAGCATACCCTAAGGATGAATGAAAACCAAGGCAAGGATACATAACTGGATGAGGTGACCAGGGACGTCCTCAGGCTTACCAAAGCCTCCTATCTCTCAAGATTGTTCCCCACTGCCAACTCCTGCCAGGGCAAGTACCCAGGTCATCTCCTCTTTCCAGGTGGTGACTGATTTTTCTCCTTCATGCAAAAGCTTGATACAGAATTATCATTGGTCATTTCAATTAGTTCATCCCTGGCTTAAAGAACTAGCCTGCTAGAGAAGAGTGAAGAGGGTGAAAAAAGAAAGGCCACTGAGGGTGCTGAGTCAGGCAGAGTCTCAACAGTGCCTTTAGAGACATCAGTTGCTACATCAGCTGCTTAGTTGTTGATGCTGAAACAAACCAGCAAAGAAGCCGGGTATGGAGGCTGTGTCTCTAATCCCTGACTTTGGGAGGCTGACACTGAACTACACAGTGAAACCTCCTCTCAAACAGCTGAAAACAAAAGCTCTAGTAGTGTAAACAATTTACATTTCAAAAAAGCCTTAAGAGATACTGGAATCCAACTGGAAAAGACTGTTTCCTGTTTCACTGCACTTCACTGAATGTAGTTGACACCTGCTTTTCATGTAGGAATGATGAAGACAAGTCAAATTCCAATGATGCCACTTTCTCACTAGTAGGCTGACTTAACAATGCAGGCTGACAACAATGGAATAATAAGAATGAAGTTCAACTGCTTCCTTAGACTTAAAAACCCTGTCAGGGAATCATTTTGTGGATACATTGCATAGAGCCTGGAACACAGTGGGTGGGTGCTCAATGTTAGGTGAATCTTGTGCTAATTTTAAACAAGTGCAAGGATCTAACATACAATTGGTCTTATCACTTTGGATCTCTCTGCTGTATCTCACAGCAGGCAGAGCAGAAAACAAAACCAATCTCAGGTTTGCTCTTTCCCCTTAGACATAGCTTACAAATACTGACATCTTGACCTCAGAAGCACAAAATGTACAAAGAAATCACTAGAAAGTATTTTAACCCACTAGTTTAAATAGCCAAGAGCATTACAGAATTTTTTACTTTAAAACATGCAAAGGCAAGAGACACTCAGAATCACACTTTACTCTATGACCTTCATGTTGCTTTTCACTTAAAGTTTGAAGCAATGTGAAATGGATAGAAATACTTTGTTAAAAGAACAGAATAAGCCACAACAGCACAAACACTATTTAAAACCTCATGTCTATGTCTACACCCAAACACAAAGCTATGTCCAGTAGGGGATCATGTTCTAGAGTTTTGTAAAACAAGTGGAAATATTAGGAAGGGTCAATATACTTCAATAGGAGAGCCATAAATGCCCTGAAAGCAGGAAGTTGACACCATTTTAAATATAATTCATATATATATATATATATATTTAAAATCAAACACAATTAAATAGAATATGGTTTAAGTACATGAATACTTCAGAATAACAGAGATGGTACATAGTACCAAAAACTTATACACAGCCTTTTTGCTTCTTCTGTTGTACAGTATGCCTCTATACAATCAACATTGCAATGAAATAAATTTTCTGTTCATTCAAGACTTTCCCAAGGACAGAAGTGATTAATAATTATACATGTGTGTGTGTATATATATATGCATATATATATACACACACATACACATATATATACTCTTTTGCAAATTCTGTGCAAAAGCAATAACATCTAAGAAAACTCCCTTTCTCTCTAAACTGTTACACACAAGGAAGCACTGGCACTATGTGGCCAGGGAGTGTGCTTGCCAACTGGGTGGCCCCGCCAACGGCTGTGCCACAGGTGCAAAGCCAACTAAGCAGAAGGGCAGCGAGTGAGTCTCCTACCGTCTGAAGACAGAAAGGGAAAAGGCGACTGCACATCTCCCACTCACAGTGAAGAATTGGGGAGACACTCAAAAGGGAGTGCTTCTGTCCCCACCTTATTAAAAAATAAAATCAAATTTGTGAATGTGTTCTAAGTACCACATGGGAAAAACTGGAGTGATCATTTTTTTTTCCATGTATATTCTGAAGAGGGAACAAAGCATCTGGAGCATAGCATTCCTACAGAGGAATGGGTCTTGATGCTCAAAGTAAATTAAATTTGCCCTTTTGTCAGCAGAGGAGAGACTAGCTTTAAGAATATATCATCTCTGGAGTGAAGGAAATGTGAACAGTGTATTCTGTCAGCGAAGAGAAGGATGCATCACTGAGGCTTGACCCACGACTTGCCAGCTTTCTAAATTAATGCTTCTATGAAGGAAGACTATACAGGAATTGTCCTCTGCTCCACAGGCTGCTGGCCCACATGGCCACTTGGAGCTACTCGCTCCAGGCAGGACCAACTCACCTGTGACCTCTAGGAGACAAGAACGAAGCACCTCTGTCATGCTTTCTGACAGCTAGGGAAGGAATCTGCTGCAAGCATGTGGCCCCTGTCTATCCCAGTGAGTGTGGCCATTGGAAAACTAACGGTCTAGTAATGTCGCTAACACCACTTTGTATCCCGGGACTCACTGTGTTACCATCATGTGTGTCATCTATGTCTACATTGAACAACCGCTCTCGGACTGTCTCCCACTCTCTCCGGGAAACAACAGTGATCTAGCAGTGAAAAGAAATGCAGTGCTCCATTTTCATCGGCTGTGTTGAGGAATCCAACCAAAGGGGAAAGTTCTTATTTTTTTCAAAATCAGATTTCCTTATCTCTGGTTTTGAGTCATAGCTGGGGAAAAAAGAAGAAAAAGAAAAAGGTAAGGTACATTCCTGTAGTAGGTGACATACTATCAGCACAGATGAAAAATGCCCAGTGCTTCCTGTGTGCCAGCACTTAGGGCATAAGCAGAGTACTTTTTTATGAGGCAAAGTATTAATTATCCTCAGATATTCCTGAGTTAAGAAGCGCTTAAAGAAGCTAAGAACTTGGTTTTATTTTTCTGTTTAAACAATGGTTAGCAGAATGAAACCACTTTTCTGTGTGTTTGTGTTCATGTATTTGCATATGCACTTATATACACATTGTATAGAAACCAAAGGTGAAGGATGGGAACCATTCTTCAGGGGCTCTCCACCTTGTGTTTTTTGAGACAGGCACTCTAACTGCCCTGGAGTTCAGCAATTAAGTGATACAATGAACCTTAGGAATCTGCTTGTAAGCACCAGGTTACAAATGAATGCCACTGCATCTGCTTTTTAATGTGGGTTCTAGGGATCAAACTCAAGTCCAAAGCACTTCACAACTGAGTGATCTCTATGTCTGTCAATGTTCTCATTGTTTAAAAGAAAATTATTTATTTACGTACATTAGTGTTTTACCTACATGTATGTCTATGTAAGGATCCCTGGGAAATGGAGTTACAAACATTTGTGAGTTGTGACATGGGTGCTGGGAACAGAACCTGAGTCCTCTGGAAGAGCAGCCAGTGTGCTTTTAATTGCTGAGCCATCTCTCTAGCCTATTTTTTTTTTTTTTTTTTGACAAGGTTCTACCCTGCAGAACTCACTCAACCCTAGTGAACTCATTAGAGAAGGTAAAGACACATATGCAGATACTGGATAACACACTGCCTCTGACAAAAACACTACATAACTTAAATGGCCAATGAGACTCAAAAGGATTTCTTTTTTGTTGTTTTGTTTTTGGAGACAGGGTTTCTCTGTGTAGTCTTGGCTGTCCTGGAACTCATTTTGTATACCAGGATGGCTTTGAACTCTCAGAGATCTGCCTGCCTATGCCACCCAAGTGCTAGGATTAAAGGTATACTCCACCACTGCCTGAGAATTGTGACAGACATGACTCCCAAGACAAACCAAGCTCATAAGGGCCATTCTCTCCTTTACAGAAAGGAGGGAAGAAACAGACTGCAGAAGACATGGTTCCTGCTATTTCCAAGATGCTATTTCCAAGATGCAACAAACCCTTTAACAACTCAGTAATCACATGAGATAATGCCCAAATACACTACAGGGGCAAATGTATTTGAATCCAGGGGATTCAAAACAGAGAGCTGGCAAACAGGCTACACAGACCAAGTAATCTGTATGGGCTCATGTTTGCTCACATTCATGGCCATGGGATGAGAATTAGAAAAAGATCTTCTGAGGTTCTTCTCCCCCAGTATCTCTGATCTATCACTCAAGGAAGAAAGACCTTGCAAAAGGTTGTGCATACTACTACCTAAAATCAAATCCAAAGGTGGGGAGGGGGGGTTCCACCATAGAGCATTCAGGAGGCCCTGAGAAGCTCAGTTCTCTCTTTCTCCCTCCCTTCTTACACATATTCATTCTCATTCTCTCTGTCTCTCTGTCTCTCTGTCTCTCTCTCTGTCTCTGTCTCTCTCTCTCTCTCTCTCTCTCTCTCTCTCTCTTTCTCTCTCTCTCTCTTTCTCCTCCCTCCCTGTGTCCCCAGTTCTTCTGGTTTCTTATTTTGTTCCATACCAGTGCACTACTTATTCTGAAAGTAAAAGCAGCTCAACACCTTAGAGAAAAGGCTTAGTAAGCTCAGTCTCTTTTCCCCACACCTCCCCCACTTGCATATTTTTTTATCCTAATAATAAAAAGCAAACGGCCATAAAATATGAGGACACAATGCTCAAATGAAGAGCCTGAATAGTAAACATCTAGGTTCCAAATGGTTTCTAAACATTTCCTTATCTTCCTACATTTGATCATCAGCACAGACACCTTTAACTCGCTCTTTACTATTCTGGGTTTGACAGAAATTACCACTCTTACACAAAAATCAGACTGTACTTTAGAAGAGTGAATGGGACTTTGATCTGAGCCAGCTGAGTGAGCAGTTCACAGTTTCAACAAGCTCTGGCTTTAAGACTGCTGAGAAGGCCAGCTAATAACTGGCAGGGCATGATGGATGCTGGACCTATATCAAATTCAAAACATCCAAGCTGCTGAGGATGTCATAGAATGCTTTCCTAGGCCAGGATGCATACAGTTTAGGGAAGAACACTAATGTAGTATGCTTGAGACCCCGTGCTTGATAAAGCAAAGGACCCTTATAAATATATTTTCCAAGATTTCTTTTTGCTTAAATGTAAAGTACAGGAATAGCTGAAAATGTTCACACACAACCCCCTCCCCCCAAACCCAAAATGAGTTCAGTTGGATGTAGTGGCTCATGAATGTAATCCTCATGCTTACAAAAGCTGAAGTTGGAAGAGTATTGAGTTCAAGGATAGCCTGGACTACAAAGAGAGACTCTGTCTCGAAAAATACATCCAGGAAGTGTCAAAATTTTTCAATTAGAAAAAATAAAAAGCCCGTGTTGGATTGCTTGTTTTTTAGATAGAGTATTATTCTGTGGTCAGGGATTCTTTGAGCTCCCTATATACAGCACAGGCTGGTTTTAAACATGATCCTCCACCTTCAGGTTCCTGAGAACTAAGATTATAGGTTCTACCACCATACCTGGTCTAAAAGAACCTTCTTAGGATTGATTTCAGTTGTTTGGTCACCAGGAAAGAATTCTCTCAAGTTTTGTTTGGCTTATAGAAATCGAGAGAGAGAGAGAGAGAGAGAGAGAGAGAGAGAGAGAGAGAGAGAGAGAGTGAGTCTCTCTCTCTCTCTCTAAATCTCTTTATTTTAATTTCATCTATCAAAAGATACCTTCATGTTTGACTTTTACTTATTAGGCAATTTTAAAACACTGGATCTTCTGGATTAAGTTTTGACAAAATGATTGCTGGTTTGTTTGTTTTTTATTGGATGTTTTATTTACATTTCATATGTTATCCCCTTACCCCAACCCCCCCACCCCAAGAACCCTCTATCCCCTCACCCCTCCTTCTGCTTTTCTGCAGATGTACCCCTACCTAACCCCCCACTCCCACTTCCCCACCCTCAAATTCCCACCCACTGGGGCATCCAGCCTTCATGAGACCAAGGATCTATTCTCCCACCTATGCTCGACAGGGCCCTCCACCCTTACATATACAGATGAAGCCATGAATCCCTCCCTAAGTGCTCCCAGGCTGGTGGTTTAGACCCTGGGAGCTCTGGTTGGTTGGTATTGCTGCTCTCCTCATGGGGCCGCAAACCCTTTCAGCTGTAACAGTCTTCACTCTAACTCCTCCATTGGGAATCCCTTGATCAGTTCAATGGCTAGCTGTGAGCATCTGCCTCTGAATATGTCAGACTCTTGCAGACCTCTAAGGAGACATCTATATCAGGCTCTTATCAGCATGCACTTCCTGACTTCCACATCAGCTTCTACCTTTGGTGACTGCACATGGGATAGATACCCAGGTGGAATGGTCTCCGGACAGCCCCTCCTTCAGTTTCTGTCCCTCACTTTGTCTCCATATTTGCTCCCTTGAGTATTTTGTTGCTTCTTCTAAGAAGGACCAAATCACCCCCACTTGATCTTCCTTCTTCATGAGCTTCATGTGGCCTGTGAGTTGAATCTTGAATATTTCAAGGTTCTCGGGTAATATCCAATAATCAGTGAGTGAATACCATGTGTGTTCTTTTGTGATTGGCTTACCTCACTCAGGATGATATTTTCTAGTTCCATCCATTTACCTC